TTCTGAGTGTCGAGTAAAACGAGGTCGTCGGGCTGATAAGTAACGAGTCTGCGATGGCGATCGGCGTTGCATTTAGCGATGATGTTTTATTTTTTGATTGCTTCTGCTGCCCTGGTCCGTGCTGCTTGCAGAATCTCGGCGAACTGTTGTGCTCGTGGGACGGGGTTGTCGGGATTCGGTGTCATGGGTACTGTTCGGTCCTGTCCGTAATTCAAGTAAAACGGCGACTGTTGCGTCGTGGCTGATGGTGCGTTATTGTATGCGAACTCGATGAGTGGCAGCTGCTGTTCCCACGTATTCGGATCGTCGCACGTGGCTCGAATCAGCTGCTCCATGGTCTGATTTGTCCGTTCCGTCTGTCCGTCGGTTTCGGGGTGATAGGATAAACTGAACTGTAAGCGCGTGCCGAACTGCTGCCACAGGTTCCGCCAGAAGTTGCTTGTAAATTTCGTGTCTCTGTCGCTGATGATCGATGCGGGTATCCCGTGCAGTCGAACGACGGTGGTGATGAAGAGTCGGGCGGTTTCCTCGGCTGTGATTGATTTCCTGCATGCTGCGAAATAAGCCATCTTCGTTAGTCGATCGACGACGACCAGGATCGCGTCATTCCCACTTGCCCCAGCTAGTAACCCCGTAACGAAATCCATCGTCACCTGCTGCCAAGCACGCTCTGGGGGCGGGATGGGTTGTAATTGTCCCGCCGGCCGCTTCCTTCTTGACTTCATGAGCTGGCAAGTGGGGCACGATGCCACGTGTCGTTGCACATCGGTCAACATTTCTGGCCAGTAGTAGTACCGCTGCAGCTGCTGCCGTGTTTTTTCTACCCCGAAATGTCCCGAGGTAACTCCGTCGTGTGCCTCCTGTAACAGTAGTTCCCGCAGTAGCGTGTATCCTGGTACCCAGATGCGGTCGGTTCCAGCTTTTACGTAATAGACTCCTTTTGCCGCTGCGAATTGCTGTGAGTTGCCTCCTGTAAAGAACGGGTCTGTTTGATATCCGTGGGTAAATAGGCCTGTCAGTAGCGGGCTGGTCTGGGCGAGTAGTATCGCGTGGATCTGGGCAGTGGGGCGGGTCAGTGCGTCGGCGATATTCGAGGCTCCTTTTTTGTATGTGACCGTATAGTGAAAATTCGACTCGAGGAAATCGAGCCATCGAATTTGTCGTGGGTTGATGTGGGGCTGTGCACGGAGGTACTGTAGAGATCGATGGTCTGTCCGTACTGTCACGTCTGCGCCGGTCAAGTAGCAGCGCCACACTTTGAATGCGTGCACGATCGCGAGCATTTCGCGGTCGTGTATCGGGTAATTTCGCTCAGGCGGATGTAGTTTGCGTGATTCGTAGGCGATGGGTTGGAGGCCGTCGCCGAAGTCCTGTAACAGTACAACTCCGATGGCGATGTCACTTGCGTCGGTAACCACTTCGAAAGGGCGGTGGGGATCAGCGATGCGTAGAACGGGTGGTGAACAGAGAACGTTTTTCAGGGCAGAGAAGGCAGCATGCTCTTTCTCTCCCCACGTAAAAGCGACCCCCTTACGCAGTAAATCAGTGAGTGGGGCTGTTAAACGTGCCATGTCGGGCACGAATCGTCGAACGAAATTAACAAAACCTAAAAAACTCTGCAGTTCCGTGATGTTCGTCGGGGGGCGCCACGCTTTTACCGTATCCAGCTTCTTTGGGTCAATCTCAACCCCAGCCTCCGAAATGACGTGACCCAAAAACTCTAGCCTGTCCCGAAAAAACTCGCACTTGGAGCCCTTGGTGAGTAGCCGATGTTCCTCCAAAACCTTAAAAACTGCTTCAAGATCCACTAAGTGCTGTTGCTTATCCCGGCTGTAAACTAGAATATCGTCCAGGTAAACTATCACGCATTTATCTAAAAGTGGTCTAAATGCCTCGTTCATGGTCATCTGAAATGTCGCAGGCGCGTTCGTCAGCCCGAATGGCATTACTGTATACTCGAATGACCCGTACCTAGTCCTAAATGCTGTTTTGGCGCAGTTCGATGGTTCGACCCGAATCTGATGGTAACCTCCCCGTAAATCTATTTTCGAAAAGACTCGTGCTGTTCGCAGTTGGTCGATCAGTTCGCCGGCGCGGGGGATGGGGTATCGCGATTTGACTGTTACCCTGTTAAGCGCTCGGTAGTCGATGCACATGCGGAACCCTCCGTCTTTTTTCGGTGTGAACAGTATCGGTGCGGCGAACGGTGACGAGCTCGGTCGGATAAACTGCTTCTCTAACAGGTAATCTAACTGCTTCCTTAACTCGTCGAGCTCGGGCTGTGTCAGTCGAAATTGCCGCTGTACAGTTGGCTGTGCCCCCGGTTCTAACTCGATCCTATGGTCGTGCGCCCGCTGAGGTGGCAATCCCTGTGGTAAATCATCCGGAAATATCCCCGGGAACTGTTTCAGTAGTGCCTGTAGTTCGGTCGGTACAGTTGCCAGCAGTTTCTCCAAATCACTCAGCTGCTCATCTTTTTCTACGAGTGCGATATCCACTGCGTACACGTCAGCTCCAGCAGCGACAGCCCGTTTCATCGTGATGGCGTTGACCTGGACCGTCGAAGATGTGGGTGGCTGCCAGCGAGGTAGAACGACCCAGTTACCACTACTTCGCACTGTGCAGCTCCCCGTCGTCCAGTCGATCCGTGGGTTGTACCGTCGCAGCCAATCACGTCCTAATAAAATGTCGTGCCCATCCAGTGTCGTCGCGAGCATTTCCTTTGTAAACCCGAAGTTCCCCCCGCAGCGGACTTTTACGCGCTCCACCTTTTCCCGTATGGCCAGGGGCGTGCCGTCGACTAAGCGTGCATCTATCTCAGGTAAACATCGGTTAAGCGTTAACTGTAATTTTCGTGCGGTTGCGGTATTAACTAAGCTGTGGCTTGCTCCTCCGTCAATGAAGATCTTCACTGCTGCTCCCTGTATTTTCCCGTAGATCAGTACCGGGCAATCCGTCGCTGTACCCTCCTTATTCATCCGAGCCCGATCGATGGCGTGAATCGGTACTGTGACTCGGTGAGGGTCGGTGTGGTTGGGCGAGCAGGCAGTCTTGTCAGTAGTTGGCCCAACTTCTACTGACTGCTGGCGTTTCCCTGCCTCCGAGACTCCTTCCCCTGCTCTGCTCCTCGACGCCTCAGCTCCTCTGGACATTCGCTCTTGCGATGGCCCGGCCGGTTGCAAGCAAAGCAGCGCCCTCTAAACGGCGCGGCAGCTGCATTCGCTGCGACGGCATGTACAGTGGCGTGCTCGGTCGGTCCCCGAGGACGATGTCCGTAATAGGACCCCGGTCTCGGTCGGCGTAGGATATCGATTTTCTCGGCGAGCGCGAGGATCTCGTTGAAATTCGAGAGCCCGCGTAGCATTATCTCGTGCGAGATGTCCGGCTTCAGCCCTCCGACGTAACGGTCCACCCGCTCCGCCTCGTGCATGTAGCCGACCTGTTCGCAAAGTGCGAAAAACCCGCTGGTGTAGTCTTGAACTGACCCGAGCTGGCGCCAAGTGCGCAGTTTCTGACGCGCCGAAATCGAGGCCGCGATCGGCTCAAAGCGCGCCCGAAGCCCTGCGCACCACGCATCCCACGTGCTGTATTGGGCGGTTTCGCAGAACAAACTCCAGGTAACAGCTGGACCCGAGGGCCCTTCCTCGTGCGACGGTGGCTCGTAGGCGCGCGGCGACGTCACAATGACTCGCCACCAGTCCATGGCGGGGCCCCTGAGTAGTGAAACCGCATACCGGATCTTGGCGGCGTCCGACTCGACGTAGTTGGCGTCGAAAAACACATTCATCGTGAAGACCCACGATTGAACTGTCGGGCCGCCGCGTTGGCTTGGGTCGAAGCAGGGCGGGCGTTGCGGCTTGAGTGACATTGGGGCCATCATGGCGTTCTCGCCACTTGTCGCCGCAAACTCCACGTGCCGACGGGCTTCTCGGGGCTCCCGTGGGCTTAATGCGCTCCTGTTCCCTCCCATGCCGGGCATCGGTTGGGCTGCGCCGTCACTGGCTGCGCCTGAGCGCTGTCCCGTGCTGTTGTGTTGCGTTGGTGTGCCGGATGAGATGACGATGGGCTCCTCCGAATGTGCAGATGCATTGGTTGGTGCGTGTGATGTCGTCGGTACGTTCACCGTTGACTGTTGTCTGGCGGAGTCACGTTCCGCCATGAGAGTCGCGATTTCGAGCGCCGAATCCTCCAGTTGACGCACGAGACGATCGAGTTGCTCCTGCGTCAACGTGGCGAGATTGAAATCGGCCATGGCGGGGGTGTCGGGCAAGCTCAGCGAGAGCCTCGGTCGTGGCCGTGCGTGCTTTCGAGAGAGCACTACGAGCGGCGGTGCTGTGTCGCTGAGAGACGTCTACCCCCCCCAAAAAATTGAGATAGTGGGAAGCGAAGGTGTGGATGCGGTCCGAGATGAGATCGTAGGCTCTGAATACCAAGTGTTACGAGTGCAATTGAGTGAACGACGAGAATTGCACTATCGAAGCAAGAATACAAATGAGCGAAGGCATGAGCGAACATTATATAGCGAAACTACCGTGGTAACGGTAATGGTCGCGCGACGAGCCTGGGACTGAGGTTGGGAAAGTGTCGAAGCGTAGGTCCGGAGCGCGGGTTACCAGCCGAGCCGTGAGGTCGGGATGCGATGTGCGAAAAGGGCGGGATGAATGATGCGATGGTCGCGAGTGGTAACGGTGCTGACTGAGGTGCTACAGTGATGTACGCGTTGAGCAGGGACGCGAAGTAAGGAAAAGGGAATTTCCTTACACAAGTCTTCGTTTATAGTTCGCTTAGTTTCGCCGTGTACGTTCGTCGAACTTTGGATTCGAACTTCCCCTCCTGCTTCATCCCCCCCAGCTACCAGGTGCTCTCCTCCTGACCCTCACCTATCCACTGCTTCCTTTCGCTGCCTCCCTGTCTCACAGTTAGTCATTATCGCCATCACTACCTCCCATGTCCCCCAGGTCCTCTCTTCGTCCGCCTCCGTCTCTTTTTGCGGGGCATCCATGTCCGCTCCGCGCCGAATCTCCGCCACGGCGACTGCCTCCTCCGCCGTTGCGGTGTCCACGCAGGCTTCCGCCGGCGCCGCCGGTTCTGCCGCCGACGGCGCTGACGGCGCCGCTCAAGGTGAGGTGAGCGGCTGTGATTGCATCCGACCCACTAAATTCACTTGCATTGTCGTCCGTTGGATGAGAGCCGCTCAACGTGAGGTGAGCGGCTGTGATAGCATCTGATCCGTTGATGTCTTTTGCTTTGTCGACCGTTAGATGAAGACCGCTCAAGGCGACGTAAGCGGATGTGCTGGCATCTGATCCGTTGAATTCTTGCACCCCTTTCTCACCCTCTCCGGCCATTCCCTTCCCCTTCCCCCTCCCATCCCACCCCCACCCTTCTCCGAACATCCTTTCCCTCCGAATTCCCGCAGGGGACGCCAGGGGAGGTGCAGGAGGGGGTGCAGCGAGCAGTGGCGGCAGTGAAGCATGCGCCAGCAGGCACGCCGCTTTCGGTTCTGCAGCGGCAGCTAGCGTCCGTGCTCACGCCGTTCGCGATAGACTCGATTCGCGTGCTCTCAGCAGCATCATGAAACAAGTGAGTGAGAGAGTGAGTGAATAGCATGTGAGGTGTGTATGGTCACTTGGTAGGCTGGAGTGGGATTGGATTTGGGGGGGATACGCCAGCAGGCACGTCGCTGTCGCTGCTGCAGCAGCAGCTGGCGTCTGTGCTCACGCCATTGCCGATAGATTGGACTCGCGCGCTCTTAGCAGCATCATGAAGCAAGTGAGTGAGTGGGCGAGGGAGTGTGATGTGAGTGTGAGTTGTTAGGCCGTAGGGATGGACTTGCGTGCAAGGCGCGTCGCTGTCGCTGCTGCAGCGGCAGCTGGCATCCGTGTTCGCGCGCCTTCGTCTCTCGCTTTCCTTCCCATCCGCCTCTCCGCCCATGCTGCTGCGCCACCCTTTCCCTGCCTCCACCCCCACACTGTGTCCCTCGTTCCGCCCTTCCGCCGCATCCTCACGCATCCGTCGCCTTTCCCCCGCGCGGCGGCGCGGAGCGGGAGCGGGAGCGGCGGTAGCGCAGGTAGCGGCGGGCGTCGGGGCGGGCGACGTGCAGACGTTCATCCTCACGGCGGGCGCGCTCGCTGCCGCCGCCGTCTCCCTGCAACTTGCGCTCAAGGTGCCGTTCTCCGCGCAACCACTCCGCGCACCCACTCCGCGCACCCATTCCGCGCACCCACTCCGCCACCCCTTCTCTCCCCGCTGCTCGTCCTCCGGACGCCCCCCCCCCCTTCCAATGGCCTCCCCTCCTCACGCCTACGTTTCTTCTCTGGCTTCCGTGCTCGCTGTACACATGCTCGCTGCACACATGCTCGCTGCACACATGCTCGCTGCACACATGCTCGCTGCACACATGCTCGTTGCACACATGCTCGCTGCACACATGCTCGCTGCACACATGCTCGCTGCACACATGCTCGCCTCACACATGCTCGCTGCACACATGCTCGCTGCACACATGCTCGCTGCACACATGCTCGCTGCATACATGCTCGCTGCACACATGCTCGCTGCACACATGCTCGCTGCACACACGCTCGTTGCACACATGCTCGCCACGCCTCACACGCTCGCCCGGGGTCACTCACTATGCGCCTCCTCTCTGCCTGCTCCTCTCTCCTGTGCCCCGCATTCTCTCCTGTGCCTCGCATTCTCTCCTGTGCCCCGCATTCTCTCCTGTGCCCCGCATTCTCTCCTGTGCCCCACATTCTTCCGTGTGCCCCGCATTCTCTCCTGCGCCCCGCATGCTGTCCTGTGCCCGTGCCCCGTCTTTCCGCATGCAATGCTGCCAGGGCGACCCAGTGCCGTGTGCCAAGTGCGGGGGAAATGGTGAGAGCCTTCTCATACACCTCACTGCCATGCCACCCCACGAAGCCTCTCGCCACTCTTCATTTTTCACATGGCGCCAATTAGCACCTTGATGCAATGGCGCCGTGACGTAGCACCTTGATGCGATGGCACCATGGCACCCCATGGCGACACTGCTGGCCGTCGGCCCCTCCTGCATCTTCCTGCAGCTCAATCTCACGTTGCTCCCTACACTTCCCCATTTGTTTCCATCCATCCCTTTTCCACCTCGTCACCATCGTTCGCTGTCTGTCCCTCCTCTGTGCATGTGGCGGGGCTGGCAGGAGGCACGGCGTGTGTGTTTTGCGAGGGGGCAAGATGGCCGGCAAGGATGGGTGCCTCATGGACTGCCGCGTGTGGAAGGGGGCAGGTGAGGACGCTGAGAAGATGAGAACGAGAAATGAATGAACTATGAATGAACTGAGTACGAGTACTAACCCTAATTGGGTTGTACCCCTTATGGGCTACCCCACTATAGCCTACACAATATGCAAAAGCTAAATGTTCTGACACACCCCCATTGGCAAAGTGGGGGAGAACAAGGGGTCACAAGACCAGTCAAGCAAAGCAAAGCAAAGCAAGCTCAGGGTGGATCACAAAGTCACCACACAGTCTGAGCACAAGGTCAAGGCCACAAGGCCAGTTCACATGCAGGAGTAGACATATATATATATATATAAGGCTAAACAAGCAAGAGCAGGTATATATATATTTATGCAAGAGTACAAGCAAGGTCAAGAGGTGAGCAAGTGAGGTAAGACTGGGACAAGTCCCAGCTGAGTGCAGAAGCGCTGATGATCACAAGGCGGAAGTGCCTTGGTGAAAACATCAGCAGTGTTGGCCTCAGAGGCCACGTACGCAAGTCGCAACTGGCCACGCTGCTGCAGCTCACGAGCAAGAAAGTAGCGGAGAGCAATGTGCTTCGTTCTGTGCTCCAGGCGCTGCTCCCGATACAAGGCCAGCATGGCCTTGTTGTCTACGTACAGCACTGGAGGAGAACGAGGCGGCTCTCCGAGGTCAGTCAGCAGGTAGGTGAGCCAGTGAAGCTCCTGTGCAGCCATGGCCCCGGCGTAGATCTCAGCCTCACAACCGGAGCCGAGAACAGAAGACGAGCGAGTAGCCCGCCACGAAACAGAGCCGGAACCAAGACTGAAGGTGTAACCCTGCGACGACAGCTGAGTAGCCTGGTCGTCAGCCCAAGAAGCGTTCGCGTGCCCAGTGAGGACCACAGGACTCCGCCCTCCAAGCACTAGCCCCATGCCCGACGTACTGCACAAGTAGCGCAACACCCTCTTCGCTGCAGCCATGTGCTCTGGTCGGTGTCTCCCAGGAGCAACATAGCGTGCAAGAATGCTAAGAGGGTATGCAAGGTCAGGTCGTGTGCAGGTCATCAGGTACATGAGGCAGCCAACAAGCTCTGGGTACGGGCCACTCGACTCTACGGACTCATCCGAAGGCAGAGCAGAGAGCGAGTGGCAAGTAGACAGAGGAGTGGCCTGAGGCGAGGAGTACGTGAAGCCGAAGCGCTGAAGGACCTGCTGCACCATGTGTGACTGAGTCAGGGTAATGGTGCGGCGTGCTCTGTCCCGGGTGATCTGCAAGCCAAGGTAGCTGCGCAGTTCACCCAGGTCTGTGCACGTGTGTCTCTTCTGCAGCTCGGACTTCACGTAGGCGAGTCCAGCAGTGTCAGCTGTGGCAAAGACCAAGTCGTCGACGTACACGAGGATGTAGAATGGCGGCAGTGAGGTGTCGGTGCGCAGGAACAACGACGGGTCAGCAGTAGAGGGAGCAAACTCAAGAGCCGCAAGCGTAGTCCTCAGTGTGTCGTGCCACTCACGCGGTGCCTGGCGGAGACCGTAGACTGGCCGTCGGAGGCTCCACTGGGTGCCAGGAGGGAAAGTCCCAGTGAAGCCAGGTGGACGGCGCAGCCAGATCTCCTCGTGCAGGCTACCCTGCAAGAAAGCAGTGCTGAAGTCAAGAGAGTGAAGCTCGTAGTCGCCCTGAGCGGCTATGTGCAGCAGCACCCGAAGAGTGGTCATCTTCGGGGTGGGAGAGAAGGTCTGAAAGTAGTCAACTCCCTGCTGCTGACTGAAGCCACGAGCGACGTACCGCGCCTTGAAGACAGGTGGAGAGCTCGGCGGCCGCTTCACCCTGAAGATCCACATGCCACTGACAATGTTCGCCCCAGGAGGGGGAACCGCGTCAACGTAGGTGCCTGTGGACTTCCAGGAAGCCATCTCTGCATCCATAGCTGCCTGCCACTGAGAGGAGTAGGGACCCTCTACGGCCTCCGCGTAAGAGCGCGGAGTCGGGATGTCTAGTGCATCCGGGTCTCCCTCAGGGGCAAGTAGAAGGGGACGGTAGAAGGGGACTGACTCGTCGAACGTGACGTCCTGGGAGGACAGAACACGACGAGAGGAGGGGTGGTAGAACTGCCACCCTGGGGCGTCAGGGGGGAAGCCTAGGAAGACACAGAGCAGTACGAGGGGACAGCTTGTCCGCAGACAAGTCGCGGACAAATGGCCGAGATCCCCAGACACGGAACGCAGACGCATCGCCTGCGGAGATTAAACTCTACAACGGTAGTGAGCTAGACTACAGGGGTTGGCACGAACTACTAGAGGTGATCTTAGCTTTGCTTAGTTCCTTAGTGTTTGCACATTCACGGAAGAATTTGGCAAGAGTTTCCACTAGCAAAGTTGGAATTCCAGAATGATACAAGCAGCAATGACAACAATGACTACATCAGGCACCTAGCAACCCTGCAGCTAGCCTGGTCGACCGCCAACGCAGCTCGGTCGACCGCCTGCCAGCACTGCGTAGAGGAGCCGCGCCGGCATTGCAGAAGGGCGACCTGCCAACAAAGTAGGTTGACGACATGCCCCGTAGAACACAGCAGTGCGCGCCCTCACAGGTGTGCGCAAACGATTGGCCCGACTTGCCTCGTTGGGCATCCGTCGGCTGTTGTCTGCGCCTGACGAGCCACATCGACTTCGGGATACCAGCCCGAAGTCGCCTGCGCCATCGCGATCTCGACGACGTTCGCATGCCTCCGCAGAACTCATCGAGCAGGTTACCCGGTCGACCTGGTCGACCCCTAGTGCTCTGGTCGACTCCCAGGTGCCTCCCGTCGACCACTGGGTCCCTCTGGTCGACCACCGGGCGCTCCTGGTCGACCACACCTCCCGTCAAGCTACCCCTTGGTCGACGGACCCCTTCCGTCGACCAGAACTGCTCCGTCGACCTCCCGGTCGAACTGCAGTTTGACGGGATGCTCCGTTGACCTCCCGGTCGAGCTGCAGTTCGACGGGATGCTCCGTTGACCTCCCGATCGAGCTGCAGTTTGACGGGATGCTCCATAGACCTCCCCGTCGAACTGTAGGTCGGCGGACTGCTTCGTCGACCTCTCGGACGGCTCACCCGTCGCCCAGGCTAGTCAAGTGCAGCTCTCAAGCATCCTGGTCGACAGTAACACCACAGCGGTCCGCTGCAGCTCGACGTATCCTGTCGAGCAGCTATCCCACTGTGGGCGGTCGGCTGCTACTCCCGTACATCCGACCAAGTTGTCGGCGTTGCCCAAGCGAGGGCGGGGCTAACACTCCATTCCCGTTAACATCGCCGGCCTTCCCCGTCCACAACAGAGCTGGGGAGGTCTCCGGCCGGGAGACCCTGGGGTGAAGGTTGATCTGATGTGCCGCGTACCGGACCGCAAACGGCCACAGAAAATGGGGGGCAGCCGCATGCATCATGGACGTACGAGCGACGTCCATGACCATGCCAATGCGGCGCTCAGCAATCCCATTTTGCTGTGGAGAGTCCGGAAGCGTAAAGGTCTAGCGGATGCCTCGTGCACGACAGTAGGCTCGCAGAAGGCCAGAGGAGAACTCTCCACCTCGGTCAGAGTGCAGGCGCAGAACAGGAAAGTCCGAGCCAAAGCTCCTCCTGAGCTGGAGACGAGCTGCGCGGATCCAGTCGATCATCACCTCAGTGACATCACCCTTGCTGCGCAAAGGGAAGACTGTGGTGTAACGCGAGTAGTCGTCAACCACCAGCAGGAAGTAGCGCTCGTGACCCTGTCCACGGACGCGGGCCGGGCCCCACACGTCCATGTGAAGCGTCTGTAGAGGAGCCTGTGTCGGGGGAAACTGGGAGGAGTGAGGGGCAGCCCGGAGCCGCCCCTCGACACAGGGGACACAGGAAGGTCCAGGCCCCGAAGGAAGGGGAGGGAGAGACCGGGGGAGACCAGAGACAAGAACACGGGAAGCCATGCCTCGAAGACGAGGCAGGGAGGGGTGGCCAAGACGGTGGTGCCACAGGAGAGTCTCGTGAGACAGGAGGCGACACGAGCAGGGGGCAGACTCAGGACCAGACCTGGACGCAGCAGCAAACACCTGACCCGACGCAGCTACCTGGCCAAACGCAGGGACAGGAGGAGACTCAGTGGTCAGGGTGTAGAGACTCGACCCCGGCCGACGCGAAAACGTGGCCAGGTGTCGGCCTGTGCGGGCGTCCGAGCAGTGGGTCACCCGCTGACTCGCAGGAGTAAACTGGTGAACCCCCGCATCCTGCAGGTCAGCACCACTCACCAAGTTCGTCGAGAACGAGGGGAGGTACAGACCAGACAAGATGCCCGAGGGGGTAGCCGGACACGGGAGGATTGTGGAGAAGTGAGAGAGGACAGGACCCCTAGAGGGGTCAGCCAGGGAGACTGCAACCGGCCGACCAAGCGGCGTGAGTGTGGTGCGGTCACGAAAGAAGGAGCGAGAAGCCCCCGAGTCAAGTGTGAAGGTGAGGGAGGCCGAAGCCGGCGCGGTACCTGAGAGCGCAGCCTCACCAGTACCTGAGGGCGCAGACGCGCTGGCACCTAGAGCAACAGCCTCACAAGCACCTAGCGCAGCAGTACCAATGCCCGGGTCGGGCGGGAAACACCGGTAACAATCACCCTCATCACTAATAGTCATAGCATACATGGCAGCAAGGATAGCA